CTGCTTTAGTCGCAAGTGTATCGTGGAAGTGTCTTTTGTCCTTGTGAGCACTCTCCTTCACTTATTTGTCCAGTCCAGTGTTTTATAGGTTGTATTCAGTTCCTCTTTTCGTTGTTCATCCCTGCACTGCACTGCACTACACTACACTACACTGGTCCATCTTCTGCTCCACTATCTTCCTCTCCCTCTTCTATCAGCTCCCCTGTATCCGTCCAGATACATTTCTTGCATTACTTCCTCCTCTTCCTTCCTAATACTGTTGTGCAGGTTTCCTTCCATGTCTCTTTAAAAGAGTTCCTGTGTTCTTCCACACAGGTTTCCTCCGGGATGTTACTTAATATCTCCCATTTCTTCTGGATGGCTGATTCATGTGAAGATGTCCTTAGTAGTTTCGTCCTTCAGCTCACTTTCTGTTCTGGGTTTTGAGCTTGAACTGCTGTCTATCGTCAGCTTCGCTGAAGGCTTTCAACTTGATTTTGAAGTTAGGTTCCTTGCACTAGATAGTGAGTGGTGTGAACCACCTTCATCTGCTCCCCAACATTCATGATCTGATCTTGTGTCCTGTAGGCTGACCGCGTCTCCACTTTCTTCACATTGAGATGGAGTCGATGTGATTTTCAGTGTTTCCTGGTGTCTGGTGAAGTCCATGTCACTTTGTGAATATCCTAGTGTTTGTACACACTGCCTCCAATCACCAAGTCATTAAATATGCTGAAGTCTGCAAGCAGTTCATCGTTCTCATTCATTTCACCGAGTGCCTCTCTACTCATGATGAGATCTCTTCCTGTGTTGTCTGCTCCCAGTTTGGCATTCATCATGTCACCCATTCGAATTTTGATGTCGCCGTCTGGCTTGGGATCTTGTCCATTACTGATTTCAGTCGTTTATAGTATTCCTTCTTCTCTTGGTCTACATTATCAGTAGGTGCGTAGCATTGTGTGATTGTGACTTTATTTTGAGTTGAATCTTGCTCTTATTTTCATGCAGAAGGAGATTGACTCCCACTCCAAGAGAGACTTCGATGCTGTTGTGGACATCACGATAGCTACTCCCTCAGTGTGCTCGTGATTGGCGTCTGGGTGACAATATCCGAGCAGATAATTGACTCTGCAGTTGACAGTTTGAAGAGTCCACTACCATTCCATCTCCTCTCGCAGATTCCTAGCACTTCTGTGTCATATCTTTCTAGCGTCACACACCCCCCCAAAATCAATAGCCTAGGGTTTGACGACTTTCGACATTGATGCTGACCTTGATAGTTTAACTGGACTCGCTAAGCTGAAGGCACCCGGTCAAGCATCCTCGCCATTTGGCACGCTGTCGTGTTACGTTGCATTGCTCGTATTCGACTCTCTAGCCAGTTAGTTGGAACGCATCGGTATTTTGGCATAACCATCCAAATATACTATTCCATCCGACTACGCTATCGTGTTCTTCCTTGGTCTCGTATTCGTGGGTATATAACAAGTTCGAATAATTAGTGATTGGTCTTTGCGTCTGTCAAGTTCGCACCAGGACAAATCCTAAATTGGTGAGCCCGACGTGATCACATATCCCGACCAATAACAAGTATTGAATTGGTGAGCCTGTTCCATTTTATATTTGTTTATTGTTTTCATTTCGATAACATTTATATATCCATTTACTACACTTTCTCATGTCCGACCACACTCCCAAGCTTATTCGTATTAAGCCGACTCGAACACGATCCAACTCGTGCCATATTGGCCAGACAATGCAGAAACATGGTTTCTGTATGCCGAGGCCGATTTTCGAGAACAGGGTGTCTCAGATCCTCATTCTCGATTTCTTGCTGTCATACGGTCACTACCGCGAGAATTAAACAGGTATGTTACAGCACACATGTTTAATCCTGAAGTAAGTGACCCTTATGCACTTCTAAAGGCCGCACTCTTGAAGAAAAGCGATCGCCAACGTCTAGACGAATTGCTTCGTAACATCGAGCTAGGCAGCCACTCAGCTACTGAAGTCCTCGCACGCATGCGAGAAGTAATCGGTGCACGAACATTTGACGATGGTTTCTTCCGAGAACTATTTCTCTCGAAACTACCACAACCGGTGCAAACCGTGTTGGTGACACTCCAGTCAGTCCCACTCGACGACCTGGCAGCCTCAGCAGATAAAATACTGGAGATATCCAGCAGACCCGTCTCCAACGTATATTCTATCTGCGACAAACCAGAGCGCCAGGATTCAGAGGTGACCAAGTTGTGCAACTCTGTGAAACGGTTGCTACGATCTCGAAGTCCTAGATCACGTAGCACTTCACAGAAACGCACCTTGGCGCATCGCAGCAAGTCGCGTGGTAGCCCTAAAACGAAACCCAACAGGGTGGAAAACCCTGAATGGTGCTGGTTTCATAACACTTACGAGGATGAAGCCAGAAAATGTCGTAAACCATGCCGTTTTAAGAAGGACACAAACTCGGGAAACGGTCACGCCGGCACGTGCTCACGGCAACCGTAGCCGGCGGAAAAAGCCGTTTGCTCTACGTCACCGACATTAAAACGAAAGTCCGCTACCTCGTCGACACCGGCGCAGAAGTTAGCGTTCTTCCAGCAACGACAAAGGAGCGTCATCACGACCCATCCTTCAATCTTCAAGCAGCCAACGGCAAGGCAATCGCGACATTCGGGAGACAGTATGCCTACCTCAACTTAGGTTTACGCAAACCTATCCACTGGATCTTCCTCCTTGCTGACGTCTCTATGCCCATCATTGGCATAGATTTGCTAAACCATTACGATCTACTCGTAGATGCTCGCCGTCGACGACTGATAGATAACAGCACAAAGTTATCTATTGGCGGCACCACCTATGTAGGTCCGAGTTTAGCCATCGTTAGGACTAAACAATCAGGCGACGCGTCCTACCAGGCAGTTCTGGAGAAATATCCAGAGATGCAACAACCGAAGCACACTCTTCCGTGCATAACCAGCAATGTTATGCATCACGTCACAACCACAGGTCCACCTGTGGCATCCAAAGCGCGCCATTTAGCCCCCGATAAGCTTCAAACGGCGAAAAATGAATTCGACCACATGCTCGAACTGGGCATTATCAGACCGTTAAATAGTCCTTGGGCATCGCCATTGCACATGGTTCCCAAAAAGGATAGCAATGACTGGCGTCCAACCGGTGATTACCGAAGGCTTAACGCCAAAACAACTCCAGACTGCTACCCGATACATCAATACAAACCCTCGTACACTTTGCCTTTTTATATCAATTTTTATTACCATGTAATGAATTTTTTAAAAAACGGTGAAGATAAGCGTAAATTTTTATTTTTCGATATGTTTATATATAAATAATTCCCATTTTTACGCAACGTTTTCGTGGTATTAAAGACTTTTATTTATATTCCAGGTGCAACGAGCACTGGACGGAACGTCGAAAGGAACAGATGACCGCGACCGACGTACAATTTCATTTATTGTATTTTATTTATTTAATTGCCACGACACCCTAGAATAAGGTTCAGACAACCAGGGGCCACCTCATGCATGATCCCATCGGAAGAGTTTTACCAGTGGAGAAACCACTGGGTTTTTACTTCCGGCTGGTATCGTCTTAGGGTCCTCACGAACCCACTAGGGGAGGAGTGATCTGTAGCGTCACACACTTCCCCAAAATCAATAGCCTAGGGTTTGACGACTTTCGACATTGATGCTGACCTTGATAGTTTAACTGGACTCGCTAAGCTGAAGGCACCCGGTCAAGCATCCTCGCCATTTGGCACGCTGTCGTGTTACGTTGCATTGCTCGTATTCGACTCTCTAGCCAGTTAGTTGGAACGCATCGGTATTTTGGCATAACCATCCAAATATACTATTCCATCCGACTACGCTATCGTGTTCATCCTTGGTCTCGTATTCGTGGGTATATAACAAGTTCGAATAATTAGTGATTGGTCTTTGCGTCTGTCAAGTTCGCACCAGGACAAATCCTATATCTTCTTGTTTCTTTTGCAATCTGGGCAGCCTTACCAGCCAGCTTTAAGTGTTTTGCGGGCATTCGATGTCCTTATGCTTACTTTTGATTTCATCAAGAGAGGATACAGCGACCAATTGGTTTCCCGAACTTTATCACCAACCAGCGTCCTTTCGGCTTTCCGATCGCAGTGGGAAATGAGTTAATTCTGTATATTTCGTCTGTGCTTTGAAGTTTCTTTAGCGATTGGATTCGTTTTCCTGATTAGGGTTGCTAGCCATATGTCAAATCTCCCCTCTTTATCCGGGCTTGTGACCGACCAGTGCTAATGAACTAGTTAACCACTCGAGGTTGAAGGGTCATATATATTAATCCAAAAGACGATGTACAAAAATCGATACCAACTTGAAGACCAATTTGTGACAGTTCTAGGCTGCGAGTTCATGATACTTACTGCAAAGATGTTGGATATTGATATTTGACCGTCAGTATCATTGTGAGCCTGCTTTAATCCTAGACTTCCCTGTTAGACGTTTCTCCTCTGATTACCATACCCCACTAATGACATTACCATTTCTGTTCTCTCTATCCCTACTATGACCTCTCCTGATCCTACTGCCCCTCTGACTCCGTGGTCTCACCATATTTATTATGATTCTCTTTATCACAGTTCCACCTCTTGTTTTCCCTGAATCCACATAGGCTTCTTCTTTCCTTTCCCTCTGTATATTTTCACCTCGTTTCCACCACTTCTACTTTGTTTTTGTTTCACATCTTTTCATCCTTTTCATCCTCTCTGTCTAGATAATCATCCGATAATCTGGAATTACAGAGATCTATCTGTACCACTGCCCTGGGACAAATCAAAAAGCCTCTTCAAATTTAATAAAAATCTCACCTCTCGTCAAGTATACCAGAAGCATACCTACTGTGTCGGACTTCATCAAGAACCTGCAATCATTTTGCAAGACCTAGAAGTGAACAAGAAGAAATTAATTGCTTTATACAAGCTCATAGAAAGATATTGGATATTGGACGTCTCCACTAAGGCGGCCGACACGTTTTGTACGCAACTCTTTTACTGTAACATTTGAAATCTGATCTATAAGGCTATCTATCATTATTATTTTTCAGTACATAACACCACCAAAACGTTGAAAAAAGCATAACAACGGGTACGCAAGCTTAACAGTGATGAGGGCAAATAAAACTTTTTCATGAGTTAGAGACTGTTGTGTAGTGTCACACATCTCGTCAGGATCAATAGCGTAGGGTTCGACGAGATTCAACGTTTTGATTTTCCGGGAGAATCAGGTGGGATGTGCAGGAAAAGGTTTTGTAGCTCACCGAGTCGGAGGCCTTCCATAAAACAGGCGCAAACGAATGCTTCTCGTGTTGTTCTATCCATGGTGAGTAGTGCTTGGCCGGCTGGACACTGTAGTGTATGCAAGTAATCGGTAGGTGACTCCACCAGTATTTTTGTTTGCGTACGATCAGCTCCACTATGTGTTGCTGAGGCCCTAACTGGAGGTCAAAGCATTCGTCCTGAATGTGCCAGTTGCGGGATGAGTAGTTGGCTACAGAAAACCCAGCAGCGACGCTAAGATATGGTCATAGTGAGTGACAGAAGAAACATAGTTGAGGAACGATTGCATACGCAACTTCCATATCTGGTTGTCTGATATTCCAAAGATTGGTGGTATGCGGAGGTTGTTGGCCGCATCGCCTTTAACTCGCGTTTTTCTTTACCTCCGAGATCAATTATGTAACGTCCTTTTGGGTTTACAGACAAACAAACAGGCAGACTGAATGAAGAACGCGGATTACATAGCACTGTTCTTTATTAGGATGACAGCTAGAATAAAGTGGGTACAGCAGTATCTCACTCTTGACAAAGTTTTTTATGTTAAGTTTGCGTTCTGGTTGTTCTCCTTCTTTCAATGCTTTGGCTGTGTTGTATACTAAAAGGGGAAAGGAAAATAAACAGGGTTAGTACTTTCTGTATGGTTTAAAATATGTTTCGGTATTTTTTCCATTGTGAAGCTACATAACATGGCCTACTTTTTCTGCGAGATGTGACGTTACTTAGCTAGTCATTGGCATTGGTATTTAGTATGGGTGTTATTAAAGTACTCTGAGTGGTGAAGTCATATTCCTCACTCTCTTCTACACGTTATTGTATATGTATCTGGCACCAAATCATACTCTAGAATGTTTCCAGATTTGATTGCTCGGTAGCAGATTGTGATTCAAAAATATCTAGAAGTTGTGTCCAACGAAAGCCATTTTTCAGCAATATTCCACTCACTTTCAAGATGGTACGTTTACGAAGGAACTTGTCATTGTATAAGCGATGGGGGTCTGTCGATTTTTGATCATTTGTATTAGTAAACTAATGCACGTCATTTTCACTTATTAGCACCTGCAGTATTATTTTCAACTATATTTTTGAGGGTTTTAGTATCTTGGTGTACAGAACTGGGTATAAATAATAATGCGTACCAAGACTAGGACTAACTGGTGAAATTTAAGTGACTGGTCTTTATTTCATCTGTGGGTTTTTGCTAATGTGCTGACAACTCTCGGTGACTAGTAAGAAAAAGGTGGTGGGACTAAAGAATTTCGCCATTTCTGAACAACTGCATAAGGATTTTACAGTGAAGAACTAATATGAAGGTAACTGTCAGGTGTTCTAGAAAGCTAGTAAGTCGTTTGTTCGGTGCCGACGGTGAAAAAAGGATGTACTAGTAATTCGTTTGCAGCTTGATCACTTGACATCCTTGTTTTGTACTTTGAAAGCAAACTAGTATTCATTATCTTGGATGTTATTTTTAAAAAACTCCTGCACTTTTATCCTTAAGTCCCTCTTTCGAGGTACATACATATAATTCCAGAGACGATAGGGACCACTTAAAGCGTTATTTTCGTTCATATCCTAGTTCAGGTGATTCATTCCCATATATTTATGTGGATGAATATCTTCATCGCAGTTGCAAATAGAAGTTTAAAAACATTGTTACAGAACCATGAATATCGTAGTTTTCTTCACTATTCTATTTAAAACTGGAGAGGAACAATAATCTAATTTGTGCTTCTGAGGTCATTTGGTAATCGCTCTATGACGGCAAACTTGTGTTGTTCTATTAGGAAGGTTTCTACATTTATCAAGCTTCATATGAAGAATCGACAAACATTGCTTTCTAAATTGTCTTGCAAATAACTAAAAATCAAAGGATGTTAGTTTTGCTTGGAGGTGCTTTCTTCCTCATGCTAGCACAAAAAAGCCAGACTTATTCAGTCGTATTCATGCGATACCAAATTAGAAGACAAATCGGAAATCTTTTCTTATTAGCTTATATCTCCATGAAGTTATACAAGCGAGTAAGAATTTGGCACCAATCACCACTGGCTTGCAGCTGACAAAAGTAACTTTAGAAATTGTGATGATATGTAGGTTAAAGGGATACACAGTTGAATAAAATATTAGTTAGGACAGCATAGGCTTTGTCGCACCCAGCCGTCGTCTTGTGTCGAGCTTAATTTAACGTCAAAGTGAGCCAGTGTGTTTGTAAATGATATGAGAAGCTGGTGATTAATCCTACATTTGACGATTAGATGCATTTTGTTGCTCTTGTTAGTGAATTATTTCCCCTAAAATCTGTATACTCATTAATGCGGCTCTTAGAATCTGACTGTTAGTAGAACTCTTCAACTTTGTCGAAGCTGTTAGTCGAAAACGTTTTCAAAAGGCAAAATAATTGGCCATGTATTCTTCCCTGTCCTGACTTTGTATGTAGAAGTCATTCTAATCATGTGCTTCAATTGGAAAGTGTATGAATACGTGTTCGTAAATTTTATATTCATTCCAAATACGTGGCTATATTTGGTTCACTGATCCTGGTTTCATCTTTCGATTGGTTGCTGATTCTTCTGGTTTACTTATCTATCTGAACATAATCTGCATTACACAGTCGTAAATAAAAGCTGAGGTTTATTGGAGGTTCACGAAGCGTTCCTTCTTCAGCCAAGTAAATATGTTGTTTGTTATTTTATCGATCGATAACACCTTTCTACGTAAACTTTTTATGAGTATATGGAGATATTCGAAATGGCAGTACTAGTATCTCAACAAAGTTTGCCTCATACGAAACGCCGGACTCGCTTGGCACTCTTGTGCATGACCTTTTTATTGTAACTAACTGGTAGTTTCTACATGAACGTAATAATAAGGCTCGCACTTTGCTGACTGACTTTACTGACTGGAAATAATCTTCCTGAAGATCTGTCCTGCTGTATATTCGTGGACTAAAAGCTGACCATCATACTATAGAGATAGTTTGACACTGAATTTGTACTTTCCGCTCCGCGAGTATGACAACATAAAGGTGTTTTTCAAGGAAAATCGACGTTTTAGACTAGTAACGGCCTTAAAAGTATCACACTTCTCTTGTCATGGTCAGTCAGTCATAGAACCCTGAGTTACCATGTAATGGTTCAAGTTGCCATACCTTACATCGGGACATTAAGATGTAAGGTAGCGAGTAAAAACAAAAGTGAATAGGAATATCGCAAAAGGAAACGGCAGACTGCCAAAAAGAAATCTACCAAAAAATGAAATGGGACATAATGGTTTAGATGTTGATGGATCGGCACCACTGCTATCGATTCTGAGCCACATCACGTAGATATAAAGCACATCTATTTCAGCTGTAAGATAGGTCGCGAGTTAGGATCTGACAGTCCTTCAAGGGTTTGACCAACAGTTATGCACTTCATGCATAGATGTTACGCTTGAGCTTCATCACTACGCACCATTTTCGAACCTTACTTTCACAAATAGCCATAACAACTAGCGAAGCAGTAACAAGAAGGGAAATATAAAACACAAGATGCTTTCTTACTGTGTAAAGAAACTATCACTTGAATGCAATATTACTGTAAATGCAAACTTCATTGTGTCGTAGTGCTTTAAGCCTCAATGTTCGCCTATCGAAATTTTAATAATATTACACCACTGACTTTACTTTTGCATGTGTGTGTGTGTGTGTTCCGGCTATCATATCCGTTGACACTTTATCGCTTAGTTAAAAAACACACATAAAAAACATCGAATTGAAAACAATAATTGAAGCTTAGTAGTGTGAACTGATTTTTTCACATCGAATCGTTGTAGCGTATCTGCAAATTGTGAAACAATTTGATTATCAAAATACGCAGCGTTTGTTCTCAGAATTTCATTGAGTGAATAAGGATATGTTAATTAAGGGGAAAGGCGATATTGACTTAGCTTAAAGAAGGGCATAAAATACTGTTCATAATGTCTTCTTTTGGTTTACAGGATGATTAAAGCGTGTTCGTTTGTTAGTGTTGTAGTCTTCAAGTGCTCAGGCGTTGCCCATTGTCCAGTAGGTTGTAAGTAGAGAGGAGTGAAAAAAGAGTACTTCTGTTGGTTGAAATGTGTGTTACATGTGTTGTAGAGAGGATCACTAAATACTGGTGTTTACTTCCTTCAGTTGTTTGTAGAGAATATGTGAAAACCAATGTACTATTTGTGATGGATGTGTGCTCTGTGAACTAGAATATGACGAAGTGATAACGTCGACACACCATTGATGTCTCTAGCGTTTTCTGTTTGTATGTGTGTGTGTGTGTGTGTGATGAATGTGTTTTGTGATATTTATTATTGAGAAGTATGAGGAGTTTATCATGTTGGTGTACATGAATGAAAACCAAAGATAGACGGACATATTAGATGAGATGCATGCAAGCTGTGGTTAGCTAACTGTGTTGGCAACATGTTCTTGCCAATTGCCTTAAACATCCGGTGATGTTTGTTTTGAATCAAGCAAGAACAACGACATTTGTAGAGTAGAACTAGGGCATCTTATTTCATGTGCTTTCATCAGCTAAAAGCATCCTACAACTGAAATGACATATTAGTAGTAATAATGACACAACGTATGTTAGGTATGTGAAGAGAAATAAAGATTTCAAATCCAGGATTAATGAGAAGGTAGTGAGTCGAGGAAATACAGAATTTATAATCACAAATCTTAGTCAAAATCAGTGTGATTGTGGACCAATGGTTTAGGGAGATGGCTGTCAACCATTGGTTCGAGGCTCGCTCCATATTACCGAAGTTTAGGCAGCCAGATAATATTACTGGCCCTCACACAGTAGGTGTGTTGTATTGCCTACTGCATGGATATGCACATGGTAGCTGGGTTCTTTCGTACCGTTCGTTCGTCCTGTCGAAATCGATGGTAGTTTGTATCTGGTGAAATAAATTCTGGAGTTGTGGCAAGAGGGACACCAAACAGACGAGTGTAAAAAGGATTGTTCAAGAGCTTAGTCGGTTAAGTAGTCATATGAGGGTGCTAGAAAACGTTAGACTGAGTCATTAAAAGTCAGTAATTGACAAAGAGATGATGCAATCAAGAAATCTATACACTGCCTCAGTGTAGTGTACTTTGTACTTTTCTGTTTTCGTTCTTTTTGGACGATCTACCTCGTTTTATTGAAACTAGTTTCATTAAGTATGCTGATGACCTGACGGTGTCTATTCCAGTTAACCCTCACGTAGATTGCTCTAAATTAAATGAATTCTTGTCTGTAGTTGGCCAATGGTCTCAAGTGAAACCCTTCTAAATGTCGGACTGCTCATTTTAGCCTCATACGTAGACAAGACTTGTGTGAGCTGCTTAATTCTCATGACGCCTGTTGCGGTGATGGTATTTTTGCAGACAGTGAATCGAGTGTTAACTATCTTGGGTTGGTCGTCTCATATTTTGTTGATTTGTAAAAAAATCTTTCGTTTAACTTATTACATAAAGAAACTGAGGCTCTCTGGTATAACTTAACCTCTTCTTTTGCAGTTTATTAATTCCTGCATTTTACCTATTCTTCTATATTGTTCCCAATTGATCTTTCCTGGTCTTCTAAAAAAGGACTATGTTATGTTGCGCAGGGCTTTGAAAACCGTTAGCAGGGTGAGTGGTGTGCCTCTGGCTCAACTGATTAACACTGTAGTTGATAGACATTTAAATTCCATCAAGTAACTAGCTACAGAAATTTTAACTGACACTGAGCATCCACTTCATTCACAGCTGTCTCCATGTATCTCCTCAGGGAGGACAAAGAGAAACTACATCAGACTGTACGTTCGTACAACGAAGTATAAGAATTCGACTGTACCTTACCTAGCAAGGATATTTTGTGAGGAAAAAAGTGTTAGAACAGAAATCACACATCAACTTTGTAACGGTTAAAAATTCCATTTCAATAATTTAACTAACAATGTAAAATTTTCTCGTTTTTAATATTCTTTACATTACTTAAATTGTTATAATAATACAATTCGAAATGTTGTAAAGGAGTATGTATATACATATATTTTGTTGTTGTTGCAATATATCATGCTGAGAATTCCAAATTGTACCACAAATTGTTTGGAATAAAGTGGATTATTATTATTATTACATACATATGCAAAAATCACAGGGTTAATTGTAGTCTCTTTCTGAGCACAAAGGTCAGGATGGAAATATTTGATGGAGAGAGCTTCCGAAGACTAATAAACAGGTCGTATTTTGTTATTTGATTGTCTTATTGAATAGTGTCCTGACGAAACCGCGCTTATAGCCGACGGGGCAGAAACTTTTGTGGTGAAGGTACTGGCCAATCCATGTGTCTTTCCTGTGGATGGTTTTCCCACCTGTACTGCCATATCTGTCCTATACTCAAATCCGAAATACAGAATCTGTCCCCACTTTCATATTCTATTGTAAAATTCACATTTGAACGAGCCTGGTTAGCGGTATCGAGCAATTTTGACGAGTGATTCATATTATCACAATCAATGAAAGTATCATCGACTTGCACGCGATAATATTTCGTTTCCTTGATCACAGAGTTCAGAAGTATTTTTTTGATATGCGCATTTTCTTTCCACAGCATTTCGTCACTATCTTTAAATATCCCAACCGATAGCTGCTACTCTAACGTGGTGGTCGGGCTTGGATGTTGGAATGATCGGACAAGCTACTCTAGCTAGAAAACTGTTTCTTTGATGTTCTGAGGTACTGGAAATGGTCCGTTGGATATCGGTGAAACAGAGAGCAGTCGTCGTTACTGAGTAAGTTGTCACACTGTGATGGGGTCTGAAAGCGAAGTCTAACTATTAACTAGACGAGGGTGTAACCACAGCAAGGTATTTCCCCCGGATGACCAGCGAAAAGGTCAGTGGATAGTGAGACTATAGTGGAGAAGAATCGACCTGCGATTCGCTTAGAGGGGTTGGCGGGGTGGACTGGCAGTTCATCTGGTCTCCAGCTATTATTGCGTTACCCGCGATCCGGACAAATCGTGAGTAGGATATCGAGATGAGACCCTTAACATTTATGGAAGTTGAGAAAGCTGTAAATAACCTGAAACGAGGAACAGCAGCAGGACAAAACCAACTGTTATCACAGGTATTTGAAGACTGATCAAGGATTATTGGTTGAATAACCTGGATTATTGGCTACTATGTCGGAGTCAGATATGATCCTATCTGACTAATCGTAAGTACTTATTGTCCTGGTCTTCAAGAAAGAGGAGAAATCCTCTTGTGGCAACCATTGCCTGATGGACATACTATCTAAGATTAAAGTTCCTACAATTATCAGACGTCTTAGTGGACCTCAGAAACAACAAACCAGAGAAAACCAAGCTGGTTTGAGACGTGGCCTTTGGTGTGTCAACCAAATATTTCACCCTTTGACAGTAACACCTGACACTCAACACTGTGCGTATAGGTGGAGTTCGAATCTTTCGTTTCAGAGGTTTTATAGCAGTGTCTCCTACTGAAAAGTGTGGCGAGTAAGTACATCACTCTGTTGGAGGCTCTGTACTCGAAACGCGTGTGCCTGTTAAAGCCTATGATGAGTTATCAATCGAGAAGGCTATTTGAAGTGGTGTTCGTCAAGAATGTCCACTGCCTCCATTCTCATTAAGTTTTAACTTAGCTGTACTTGTGCCGGTATGCCTCTTGCTATCTGACCTTGTAGGGATTTGTTGAATCACAAGAGAATCCTTGGTGTATGTGGAGTATGCAGATGACGTGGTCCTACAGAGTGAAGACACTGACAAGATGCAGAGTCTCCTGGACACCCTAAGTGACAAATTGAGAATGTTTGGAATGGATTTCTCGAGTGAAGAATGTTGGTGAGTTACTGGTCTTCAGTGGTGCCCTGTCTAACAGTAGTGAGTGGATCGGTTGAGTGCGTTGACCACTTCAGTCGTAGTGGTTCGTTGACCGACGAAATCTGTACACGGATGCGAAGGGCTTGCTTGGTTTCCGCCGACTTGAGCCATCTGTGGTGCTGCGGTGATATTCGTTTGTCCACTAAGGGTTGAGTGGTGTTCTGTGGTTCGCTCTGTCCTACTGCATGGTTGTGAAACATGGTGATTAAGGGTGAGGGGAATGTGAAGGCTTGAGGTGTTTGACAATCGTTGCCTTTGTAGCGAAGTCCGTGTTTCGTTGTGTCACCGTGTGACTAGCGTAGAATTGAGATGTAGAGTTTTCAGGGTGAGAGGATAGTTAGTTGATGTTGTGAATTTTGATTAACTGAGGTGGCCTGAACATATGTGATCGTGTGCCTCGTCTCAGTGTTAGCTGAATTTGGTTCGTACTGAATAGATGTGAGAGGTGGTCAAGCTGAAGCAGGGCTTGAGTTCTTGATATGTTTTACTATTGGTCTGAGTCATGTAGGTGAGTGTAGACTTCCTGGTTGTGGTGTGCGTGTTGAGAGAAATCGGCGGTTTAAGACTAGGTGATATGGCTCAGAATGAGTCTCATTGCTGGAGATGCATCTTTCCATTGTTTTCATCTCAGTCGTCTCCTTCCTCTTAGCACTCTTCACACCAACAGACTTTCACTGTTTTTGTACCTATTTCTTTTTCATCTTAGTGCTTTCTAGCTTGACTTTGTGATATAAGATGTGGCAACCTAAATCGTTTCGTATGTGTCAGGTGTCGTGTTGATATTGCCGAACCGACTGACAACTTCATCATCGTTACCCCCTTTGACCACTGCAACTGATCCGAGCCAGCGAAACACTGATATTCTCCTAACATCCTGCTTTCGAATTCCCAGCGCTATGCCGGATCGGACGACAGGCATCTCTTGCCAAAACTCTAGAATCTCGTGACGTGGATGTATGCTGTGTTTCTGAGATGCACATACAGGACCCAAGTGTGGTTATTCACTTGATGTCACCTAATCAGTGGAGTGAATGTGCGAAATTTCCTTAACGATTGTTCAGAGATTCAGTAACTGGCTCTCATAGTTTTGCCGGTGTATGCTTAAGTATAACAAAATCCACTTCTCGACAAGATGGAAACCACCTAGCAGCCATCTATTGTTTCCGGCTAGATGTAATTTGTGCCGTAAGAAGATTCTGGAGAAAAAGCGACTGAGTAGTATTTAGGCCATTTTAATTTCCACCATTTTCCACATAAGCCTTACATTTTAGTGAATCGATGTCAAGCTTTTTTTGAAAACCACCATGGGATCATTTATATCCCTTTATATATTCTGTTTTTACACATTTGTTTACGTTTACTGCCTGTAATTATTTATTTGTACTATTTTGCTTGCAGCACTGTAGAAATATGCTTGTCTTAAATAGTCTTCGTCATTCATTCATGAAGTACTCATCATCCATCCAAACAAGTATGTTTCTCTTTCAATCTTTGGATTTTTTCACAGAAGTCAGAAATTTATTTATCCAGGTTCAAGAGACTCCTAATCCAAACAGTTTGAAATATTTTCCCGGCAAAGATGTATTAGGATCTGGGACCAGAGACTTCCCATCTTTTACTCATGCAAAATCGTCGCCACTGGCCAGGTTTGCTTCATTATAAACCATTGAAAACTGCAGACAGTTGCTTCGAATTGAAGGTGTTGAACAGGTGTTTTTCGGTCCTGATTTTATCACAATCACGAAGGTCGGTTTATAATTTCTCCGATCTGACAAGTGATAGAATGACAAGTTAGAATGGACTGTAATAAAACCGGATGTGTATGCAACTATAATGGATTTCTACAGCTCAGGACAACCTATTGTAATCGAAGAAGAAACAAACGATCCAAGTGAGATGCTGCATAGTACATTAATTTTGGTCCCTCTTCATTTCTTTTTGATATCTAAGTTCCTAGGTCTGAAAATAGCGTATTAGCCTGATTTTATATATATATATATATATATATATATATATATATATATATATATATATATATATATATATATATATATATATGTACTTCTCAGCTGCAGGTTAACCAACAAGTGAACCCATGCTGTCCACTTAACTGTTACGGGGAAAATGCTTGTCGTGCTAGTGACACAGGTAGTGGCCTTAGTGAGTATCGCTTATGGTCTGTCTATTTATTTTGAGTTTGAAATGACTATCAACAGATAAGGAGTGGTTATTGTAGCTATGTGGTTTTTTAAAATTATTTATCTCTGCAGACTAATTGTGAAACAGAAGTTTGCTCTGTGAATTATCGAAAAGTTGAAATAACGCAAAAATATTTCACATCTTTCATGCAGGGGAAATCAGTGATTAGAAGTGTAAGTTGACATAGGCAAATGCGACTACGTGCGGTGAATATGTATTGACTGCTTATGACTGTTTCCCAGTTTATTTCTTCAGCTTTCATTTCTCTTGGTTGTTTTCTTTTCTCCCTGATCTCTCGTCTGTTTGTTTTAGTCTAAACCACATTTGGTCGGCTAATTATTATGTCAGGCTATGTGTTGTGTTTGCGTTCGGTTATTTGTCTGTCTCCTGTCGGATGTGCTTTCTTAGTTGCTCAGTAGATCGTTTCGTATCGGTTAAACAGCCAGTCGTGTTCGACTTGAGAATACTTTATATTAATTGCAACACCCAGTGATTGCTACTGTCAAGTAGTATAATCTTTTATAATAATTTTTTTCCTGTTTTCATTCACCTAAAGCCTATATTTTAGATAATAGATCATCAACCAAAGATCACTATAGTTGTTTACGATTCTGAAACTACATCATACTGTCGAGATTTTTACTTTAACTTATGACAATCAGTAGCTCTGAGTAGAGTTTACTCGTGTAATTTTAGTTATCTCTGAGATATTTGCGTCGATCGCACTTATGGAAGTAGTCGACTGCCGTTTCACTTGGTCATCTCCATTTGTCCAGTACATGTTCCCAGTTCACAATCCAGCTAGTTTATTTTTATTAACCATTCTTTGCTCATGCAGTCGGTTCTAAGTTCACCAGAACAAACGAGATAATTAATTATTCTGATATTGTTCCACAGGTAAAACAAACTCGATCCTAACATTTTCGAATTAATTCTAGTGTAGTTTTATCATTTATGGTTTCCCAGTTGTCATAGTCTATATTTATAGCTTGCCTTTTAGGCGACTAGGAATTTCCTCGCGAGATTCTTTTTACTTTATGTCTCATTATATCCGTAATTTCAGAAATTTTCTGAGCTAAACAACCGGTATTGACTTCGATTTACTGGATATGACTTCCAGCGCCAGGAAGTAAGCTCATTACTGGTACATTAGGGGGTCACAACTCTAGTCATTGATCTCATACTAAGATGTTTTAGAGGGGTCGCGATTTTGTTTCGTCATTACTTATCCATAATATTTTATAGTTGTTAACAAATTAATGATTTTCCAACTTAAGATGAGCCATGTGAAGACGATGATGAGACAGTATTGATGATCAAAGAACTTTTGGATACTCGGATAAGGCCTACTGTCCAAGAAGACGGTGGTGATATTATTTACAAGGTAATTTTATATGCTCACAGACTAAGAAGTTAAATTTTCTTTTGAACGATTAAGCAATCTTTATTATTATTTTTTATCACGCTCGGCATATAATATTTGTTGGTACCCTATCAGTTGCTTTTACTCTCATATGGTGATCACGCTCGCATATCATAATGACTCAACGAAGTTTTCTGACGGAGCACTTGTTCCCTTGAGGTTCTGTTATATGAGAAGGGTCTGTTGTATTGTGGTAAGACAAAAAGAAGCGACCTTCATGTGTCCATTAGACACTCCATGATGGAATCCTGGGGCAAAGTCGTACTGCTGGCTAGACGGTGGTGTGTCAGCAGTAAAGTGTTTCCAACAAATCAGTAGTATCATACTAGTGCTGCCTTCTCTGCAGGAAAAGGGTTAGAAGAAGTAGACCCCGAAGATAACACACTCTTCTCTGCCCTGCAACTTTCCAGTGCTGGCGGAATGGGTTTTCCAGCTGGTTGCAAATCAATCGAACCTCCAAAGAAGCCGTGTAAGATCGATTTCAAGCAGATGTTCCAAGTACTCTGTGGTCAGGCAAAACTATTGATGTTTCTCTTTCAGGTGCCTTTCGAAAACAACTTCAGGCAGTGAGCAGCCGAGAAGTACCAAACCCCGCGCTCTTTTAGCAGTATACATAACCCAACTTACCATAAACTACCTTTCTTATCTCAGTCTCATCCTTTGCCATTACTTCTTAGTACCAATTTTGGGCCTCTCATAACTTCCTCAATCACTCATCTTGGGACCACTGGTAACGATCCAAACCAATGAAACGCCATTTCTATTTTCTCGATACCCTGCTGTCAATTTCACCTAGGAGCTTTCAAAGTCCAAGCCTTATACCGAATTGAAAAACAGTCACCTCTTTCCAAAACTCTGAGGTCTCTGGCCATGAGATGCGCATACAGGACCCAAGTGTGGTTATTCACTTGATGTTACCTAGTCAGTGTAATGATTCCAATGCGAAATTCCTTTTACGAGTGTCTGGAGCTTCGATGGCTAGCTCTCAAAATTGGTAAGACCTAGTAAGATAAGGAATTTAGAAAAAAGCTCGGCCATAACTTTTCATGCAATGACACTCAACCACACAATAGGATGGGACAGGGTGAACATTCTCAAAAGCAACATACCGGGGTGGAGGAAGAGATTTATAACTGAATCTTTGTCTATCGAATCAACACCTAATACACACTACAGGAATTACTTTGTATTATTCCGGATATGTGGAAAATACTACTACCCATATCTCAAAGAAAACGAGGAAATTAGAAGTATGTTAACCATGTTGTGGAGTTAGATAACTATGGACAATAAGTTGTGTCCGAAACGTAATCCAATAAATAATTTTGTTCCACTGTGTGATGCACCTAATAAATCAACTAAAGTGGAATTACATCCTACCACAGGGCTCAAGTTTTACCCTTTCATTAGCTCTCATGATCTTGCTGTAGTATATGTAGGTATAGCAGAAAGCATACTTCTCGACAGGATGGAAACCAGTCAACAGAGATCTATGTGCTGTCCGACTGAATGGATGCGTAAATATTGAGAATTATCAGACTTGCTGATGCCCATTTATAAAGCAAGACATCCAGATACGTTCATAGTAGCAGGTGACTTCAACGCTCAGTTACGTGAGTTAAACCAACGAAAAGGCATCTTGTATGCATCTACGCTATCCCTTGCCAGCAAACCGACAATAATGTTCGTCTCTCGCAATTTTATTCTAGCAATCTCCTGTTTCTGGCCATCTCTGACTTTAAGCATGAAGAGAGACAATCTCGCTTGGTTTACACCGATATTAAACCAACGATGACCACAGATATGATGATATTTCTGTAAGCCATCGCTGGGGGGTTGTCATTTCCTCTGGAGTACCTGCCTTGACTCGTATCACAGTTTAGTACGAACACGTGTGTGTTTGCGCTTGTGCAGCTTTGCTTAGTTTAGGTAGTTGACTTTCAACCAGTGGGTCGCAGGTTCAAACGCTGCCCCCCCTACTGAAGTGTGGACAGGGAGGTGGGTAATTACCCCTCATATAATAGTTGTGGCTCATTGGCTACTGCATGAAGATAGATATGGTTGCCGAGTGCGCTTCGTTCCCTGTTTATCCATAGCTACACCTTACTGGTCGCGCAAAACTAGCAGCAATGAAGCATCTGGGTGGTCGACTGGAAAATGAAACGTCAGGAGTGGATTTAGAGGGGCGGTACCAAGCCTTTGCCTAAACGTGACGACTATCCTCATCCTGACAAAACGCTATAGAGATATTTTGTCTGCCATGGAAACGGAGGTGAGTAGAGTTGGTAACTTACATGCAAAGGCTAGCGAAAGCCAGTGAATTTCTGCAGCCTCATTTCTACTGATTAATGCAAAAAGACTGATCTTGTTTGGCTCTGACCATAATAATGAATTAAATTAGCCGAAACTTAAATTGAGTAAGAGTTTTCTCAATGCTCGTGAGCAGTGATATGGCGAAAGCGCAGGAGAGGGAGATGTGAATGAAAAAAGAATCAACATTAGATAGTGGTCTGTATTTATTTATTGGTAGTGTCATAAGAAGACAACAGTTATTGGGACGATCACACTAATAACCTTTCAAAATTGTCGGGTAGAATGTTAGGTGGCACACTTTGAAACACAGTTCAACTGGCTTACAGCTACGCTCCCTTTGGCGAGGATCTAACTGGAATCTGAATGAGAAGTTGAGAAAGCTGTATAAAAGCTGAAAGTATGGAAAGCGGAAGACGAGAAATCCTCTTGTGGCAACCATTGCCTGATGGACATACTATCTAAGATTAAAGTTCCTACAATTATCAGACATCTTAGTGGACCTCAGAAACAACAAACCAGAGAAAACCAAGCTGGTTTGAGACGTGGTCTTTGGTGTATCAACCAAATATTTCACTCTTTGACAGTAACACCTGACACTCAACACTGTGCGTATAGGTGGAGTTCGAATCTTTCGTTTCAGAGGTTTTATAGCAGTGTCTCCTACTGAAAAGTGTGGCGAGTAAGTACATCACTCTGTTGGAGGCTCTGTACTCGAAACGCGTGTGCCTGTTAAAGCCTATGATGAGTTATCAATCGAGAAGGCTATTTGAAGTGGTGTTCGTCAAGAATGTCCACTGCCTCCATTCTCATTAAGTTTTAACCTAGCTGTACTTGTGCCGGTATGCCTCTTGCTATCTGACCTTGTAGGGATTTGTTGAATCACAAGAGAATCCTTGGTGTATGTGGAGTATGCAGATGACGTGGTCCTACAGAGTGAAGACACTGACAAGATGCAGAGTCTCCTGGACACCCTAAGTGACAAATTGAGAATGTTTGGAATGGATTTCTCGAGTGAAGAATGTTGGTGAGTTACTGGTCTTCAGTGGTGCCCTGTCTAACAGTAGTGAGTGGATCGGTTGAGTGCGTTGACCACTTCAGTCGTAGTGGTTCGTTGACCGACGAAATCTGTACACGGATGCGAAGGGCTTGCTTGGTTTCCGCCGACTTGAGCCATCTGTGGTGCTGCGGTGATATTCGTTTGTCCACTAAGGGTTGAGTGGTGTTCTGTGGTTCGCTCTGTCCTACTGCATGGTTGTGAAACATGGTGATTAAGGTGAGGGAATGTGAAGGCTTGAGGTGTTTGACAATCGTTGCCTTTGTAGCGAAGTCCGTGTTTCGTTGTGTCACCGTGTGACTAGCGTAGAATTGAGATGTAGAGTTTTCAGGGTGAGAGGATAGTTAGTTGATGTTGTGAATTTTGATTAACTGAGGTGGCCTGAACATATGTGATCGTGTGCCTCGTCTCAGTGTTAGCTGAATTTGGTTCGTACTGAATAGATGTGAGAGGTGGTCAAGCTGAAGCAGGGCTTGAGTTCTTGATATGTTTTACTATTGGTCTGAGTCGTATAAGTTAGTGTTGTGCTTGTGAGCAGGGAAACTGGTGTTTAGATGCTATTTGGTGTGTCTGGGAATGCATCTCCTTGGTGCACATGTATCCATACACTGTGTTAATCCCAGTGATGATGCCGAATTAGCATACTCTCATTCTAGCTTCCTGTTTGGATCACTTCCTTTCACTTTTGATCGCTTTCCTCTTTATTTTCAGTGTCTTATTTCTGTACATTCTTGCTTGATTTGGTAATATGAGAAGTGGCAACTTGAACTGGTGTGCAGTAATACAAGGTTGAGTGTTGATCTTCGTCTGCCTGTCTGTGAAAGAGGTACCGAGCAAGTATAATGTGCTGGTCAAAGCTCTTCACTGGAAGTCATACGGCCGTGTATGTGCTTATGGGCTGTTGTCATCTGAAGTAACAGCAATCAGTGATGTCTGCTAGGGATGCTTTCTGTCACCGGTCGTTATAAGCTCCTTAATAGATGTGCTAGTTGACCATAATCTTCGTATCCCGAACTTCATAGGGATTGACCTACTCACTGGAGATTATCTGGTTGATTTGGATTACTCAGACAACCCAGTCCTTTTAAGTGGAGATAATGACAATACAGAGTTTTCTGACCGCCTTGATCAGAAATCGGAGTTGTTTTAGCAAACGTTTTTTCACTTGTAAGATGTGAAATGATGTTTAAATACTGGTATCCAGCTACTGTAATTGTAGGAAAGTGATGGGAAAAAATGCGTTAACCACTTCATTTACTTAGAGGTTTACATCAGTGAAAACCGGCTGCTTGCTGACGCAATCTCAGCTCAGATACATAAGGCCCGTTTAGCATTTGGTAACTTATATCGCCTCCGTTGCCTATGAGATATTCAACTACCTTTTGATGAACTAGTTTGATGTACTGCAGTTATTTTTATTAGTACGAGTATTGAAAGTGGGTGTATAGGGATTATAGCTTTTTGCTGACAAGTCTCGTCGTTGTATTTTTCACGTACTTTGGAATTGCTGTGTGAGGAATGCTGATTTTATGCATTGAGTACTTACTAGTCAAGGAAGGGAGGTCAACCAATGACTTTGTGAAGCCTTGTCGAATGAAATGGCATGGATATATGTTGGTATGTCTAACCACCGCCTACCTCGACGTGAATTGTTTGCTAAAGTAGCATTGTGTTCGAAGAAGGATCAGTTTGGCAAAACCGCAGTCCATGAAGTCTTTGACAGTTGGTCTGAGCTAGGTGGAAAAATATTGTCTACATGGTTAAGATCCTTAGGACGCTAGGAATCCATGGTTGGAAATCCTTGACGACATAGCTGTGAATGATTCTCAGCGGTGCAGATAGATGTCTTCAATCGTTGATATCTTCGAAAGTTTAAAAATCCCCACTAATTTTGATTTTTACGTTCGTCCCTTTTCAACACATCTTCTACTTCAGTATCACTACCCTCTTATGCTTTATGCGTGGCTGGGAAGCGTGGCAAATTGGATCGATGCACTTTTGTGCGAAGCTCTGCATTGATTTCCTCTGTCTATCTGTCTTTGTTAGACACGTTTTTAGTAAGCGTAAAATATAACAAGACCTTTTCATGCTTTAAGTGAGGTAAGAGTGACCTAAAATCGCATTGGTCATTGTATTTATACAAATCATAAATGTGTCAAAATTGTTTCGTCGAAATGGATATAATGAGCGGAATAATCATCATCATCAATATCAACATATGGCCAGGCATTACTGCGTAACTGTCCGAGTTGCCACAGCTCATATCAGTACATCAAGTAAAAAAGCAGTGAGGCGCAAGCAAGATGAAGATAAGATAGTTCAGTCGAAAGAAACATAAAGTGCGAGGAGAGAGAAAAGAGGAATGAGGAAATGGTGAGACTCGGTTTAGCGTCGTTAAGATGAGGACAGTGTATGCGCCACTGACATCGGTTCTAAGCTATATCACCTAGTCTCCAACCACTGGTTCCTCTTATCCCACGGATCCCAACCGCCTAGTCTGTATCGCCCAACATGGCTTGAACCAACAGTCAGAGACTTCATGCATTGGTGCCATGTCTTAGTCTGGCTACCTCGGGCCTTTTTCCAGCCTGAACCTACTTCGGCCAACATTGTGTGACGAGGCAATCGATGACTAGGCATACGTAGTAAGTGTCCCAACCATTTCAGTCGATGGAGGTTCATAACCTCGTCAACTGATATACCTCTACTCCCTAAAACTCTACACCTGACTCCTGCATTACTCACGTGCTGACACCACGGAATACAGCTTATGCTACGAAGGCAACGGTGGTCAAACGCCTGAAGCCTTCTCATGTCTTCCACCTTTAATGGCCATGTTTCACAGCAATACAGTAGAACAGACCGGACTGTTGTGCAGTACACACGACCCTTAATAGACAAACGGATATCACGGCGGCGCCATAGATGGCGTAAGTTGGCAAGAGCCGGCCGAGCCTTTTGTATTCGTGCAGAGATTCCATCAGCAACTGACCCACCAGAACTGATCCTACTTCACTTCCCAGGTAAGTGAAGTGGTCGACACACTCAACCACTTCACTCTCTATTGTTAGCCGTGGCACCACTGAAGACCAATCCTGGAGCAAACATTTGCATTTGGGTGGTGAGAACCGCATCCCAAACATTCTCAAATTGCCACACTCAAAGTGTTCAGAAGACTCTGCATTTTGTCAGCGTCTTCACCTAACAGGACTACGTCATTCTAGGTCTAACGAAAATTCTCCTGCGATCAGGTCAATCTCTGTGTAGTCAGATGACGAGAGGGAGACCTGCATGAGAATATCTATGGTAAAATTGAATAAGAATGGAGAGAGTGGGCACCCTTGACGGACACCACTCGAGGGGTACAGCTCACCTGACATCTCACCATAAGCTCTAACACGCCCACAAGTGTTCAAGTAGAGAGCTTTCAATAAGGTGATGTACTTGCTCGAAGCGGAATATGAAATACTGAATATGACTAATGACTTAATTGATGTCAAATTAATAACTCTAACCATACTAACCATCTTTAACTTTTCACACTAGCAGGTAGTTAGACTAAGCTTCAAAATTTTCTGTGTATGTTCAGTAGTATACTGAAATGATTGAGGTTCGTTGAATCCACAATTTATAGGCGATTGACAAGTTGTAATGTGGTTTTCTTAGTCATTTAAGTAGTTAGATAACCGAATTCTGATTATTACTTTCTCCAGATGATCTGATTGCAGGACATTGAACGTTGATTCATTGCACAGATTTCAGATTGTGCTGTACTGATGTGAGTTCTAGGTGAAAGTTGTTTTATTTCATTATTACTGTGACTTCTGCTAGTGTGCGGAATGAATCATTACTGTGTTTGTAGTCACATCACTTTATTGGGAGATCTTTTTATTCCACGCTTCGTTTGTGTATTCCTCATCTGACTGAACTACTGACTATAATCACCGAGACATGATATAAATAAGCGTTGATAATCTTCCCCAAAATTGCATACACAGTGCGCTAACACATAGTTTAAGCAACACTCAACTTTTTTTCCGGAGCTTCGATTATTTTACGGTGATATTTCTCAATGTTTGGCAAAATAAGTCTTTAAATTTCAAATGGAGTTTGTAAAAATACCCTACCATTGAGTTTCAACCAGCAGAAAACCGAGATACAAGATTTCCCCTACTTTATTCTTTTTCCACTAAATATACACCGCACTGAATTGTTCTATTTCGATTGTTGAGAACATTGTATTCTTTGTTTGATTGAATTTAATTCTAATTGTAGTTGGTGTTGGGTAACTGATTCTTATGCACTTCCCCGTTATCTTCTAGTCACTTAGTTTCTATGGTTTTTATCTTGTGCTTAGCGAATTTCTATATCTTTACTTTTCAGGGTTTTAAAGATGGTATTGTCCTGTTAAAACTGCAGGGGTCCTGTTCAAGCTGTCCTAGTTCCGTTGTTACACTGAAGAATGGTGTACAAAATATGCTTCAGTTCTACATACCAGATGTATTGGGCGTTGAACAAGTTGAAGATGAGCTAGACGCAGTATCTAAAGAGCAGCTGGAAAAACTGGAAAAGGAGATAGAGAATAATGAGAAGAAAGAATGAACAGTTTGCAATGTATGGAATAGAAGATGACAAGATGTTTTCTCACTGTGTAAAGAAACTATCACTTGAATGCAATGATACTGTAAATGCAAACTTCATTGTGTCGTAGTGCTTTAAGCCTCAATGTTCGCCTATCGAAATTTTAATAATATTACACCACTGACTTTACTTTTGCATGTGTGTGTGTGTGTGTGTTCCGGCTATCATATCCGTTGACACTTTATCGCTTAGTTAAAAAACACACATAAAAAACATCGAATTGAAAACAATAATTGAAGCTTAGTAGTGTGAACTGATTTTTTCACATCGAATCGTTGTAGCGTATCTGCAAATTGTGAAACAATTTGATTATCAAAATACGCAGCGTTTGTTCTCAGAATTTCATTGAGTGAATAAGGATATGTTAATTAAGGGGAAAGGCGATATTGACTTAGCTTAAAGAAGGGCATAAAATACTGTTCATAATGTCTTCTTTTGGTTTACAGGATGATTAAAGCGTGTTCGTTTGTTAGTGTTGTAGTCTTCAAGTGCTCAGGCGTTGCCCATTGTCCAGTAGGTTGTAAGTAGAGAGGAGTGAAAAAAGAGTACTTCTGTTGGTTGAAATGTGTGTTACATGTGTTGTAGAGAGGATCACTAAATACTGGTGTTTACTTCCTTCAGTTGTTTGTAGAGAATATGTGAAAACCAATGTACTATTTGTGATGGATGTGTGCTCTGTGAACTAGAATATGACGAAGTGATAACGTCGACACACCATTGATGTCTCTAGCGTTTTCTGTTTGTATGTGTGTGTGTGTGTGTGTGTGATGAATGTGTTTTGTGATATTTATTATTGAGAAGTATGAGGAGTTTATCATGTTGGTGTACATGAATGAAAACCAAAGATAGACGGACATATTAGATGAGATGCATGCAAGCTGTGGTTAGCTAACTGTGTTGGCAACATGTTCTTGCCAATTGCCTTAAACATCCGGTGATGTTTGTTTTGAATCAAGCAAGAACAACGACATTTGTAGAGTAGAACTAGGGCATCTTATTTCATGTGCTTTCATCAGCTAAAAGCATCCTACAACTGAAATGACATATTAGTAGTAATAATGACACAATGTATGTTAGGTATGTGAAGAGAAATAAAGATTTCAAATCTAGGATTAATGAGAAGGTAGTGAGTCGAGGAAATACAGAATTTATAATCACAAATCTTAGTCAAAATCAGTGTGATTGTGGACCAATGGTTTAGGGAGATGGCTGTCAACCATTGGTTCGAGGCTCGCTCCATATTACCGAAGTTTAGGCAGCCAGATAATATTACTGGCCCTCACACAGTAGGTGTGTTGTATTGCCTACTGCATGGATATGCACATGGTAGCTGGGTTCTTTCGTACCGTTCGTTCGTCCTGTCGAAATCGATGGTAGTTTGTATCTGGTGAAATAAATTCTGGAGTTGTGGCAAGAGGGACACCAAACAGACGAGTGTAAAAAGGATTGTTCAAGAGCTTAGTCGGTTAAGTAGTCATATGAGGGTGCTAGAAAACGTTAGACTGAGTCATTAAAAGTCAGTTAATTGACAAAGAGATGATGCAATCAAGAAATCTATACACTGCCTCAGTGTAGTGTACTTTGTACTTTTCTGTTTTCGTTCTTTTTGGACGATCTACCTCGTTTTATTGAAACTAGTTTCATTAAGTAT